GAAATCCAGTTGTAAGAGGCTAGTGTCTTTTTATCTTCTGGACCCACATTCTCAGTGTGGTTTTGGGTTTAGGTGTGCAGGATTGCTGCTATATCTGTAGGTAATATGTTCATTTCTAGGCGGAAATAAAAGGGGAAAGGGTAGGGGGAAAGAGACTCCTCTGAAACTTTGCCTTTTCGCTTGGGAAGGTAGTTGTCTCCACGACTTCCACCTGCATATTATTGGCCAAACTGTATCGCATGCTCATTTGGTTTGTACATCCCTACCAGCAAGACTGTGGATCTAGGTGTTTCACTTTCTCATTTTTATAGCAGAGGAAGGAGATTGGAAAAGGGGGCCAGGTCAGTCAGTGTACCAGCCCACAGATGGGTACAGAATCTTCTGGCTCTCTCTTCCAGGTTTTAAAATATTTTTCTTAAAATCTTTATCTTTTTTGTTGTTTTGCTTACATGAGCTCATTTTATGATTTTCCAAGTTGGGTTTCAAACATCTGTATTCTGCTGTTTAGCTGTGCAGCCCTCTTTTGAGATATTTGCTGTTATTTTTAAACTTATTGTTTGTTAAAATAATATTTGCTGAGAGTTCTTTTTGCAGATCCTCTGAGGGGCAACAGTTACCTTTCTTAATATCTGACGTGGGAGATACACATTTAATGGAGATTCTATGAAGCCAGAGAGGTGGTGGCGCATGATGGAATAGAGATTCAGAGGAGGGAGATATGGATGTGGCAGGAAGAATTTAGGAACGATTTGAGGAAGGGGTCTGTCTCTTGCGTTCTCAAACTGTACCAAACTTGTTGCCATGCTTCAAATTTGCTGTTCTCCTTCAGATTTTTGTGTGCCTATTTCTTTATGGAGTGCTCCACAACTTCATCACTGACCAATCTAAATGTAAAGAGGATGACTAAAATGATAATTATGTTTGAACTCCCCGGAACTCATGCCCTCTGGTTGTCCTTTATAGTGGTGAGTTTGATTATGTGGGTGTAATTTTCTCTTGAATTTTTCTGGGATACTTAGGATTTTTTAGAGATTTCCCCCATGTTGGGAACTCACACTTGCAACTAATGGCACTCCCCAAAGCCAGGTGCCTCTACTGCCACCCTCCCTAGCCAAATGGGTTTTGCGTCAGATCTCAAATTACTCACATCTAAGTTGGTATTGGATGGATGAGTCTGATCGTGGACTCTTATTACCAGCCTGAACCCTAGCGGTAAAGCAGGGTGGTGAAGAGCATTTTCTGGGTTCTGTCTTAGGGAGGCACAACTCCTAAAAGCTAGAAACTCCCCACACATTGAAAGTCTAGAAGGTGCTAGACAGACAGAAAAATACGTATCATCCACTATGTGTTACATATAACTTCTTGCTGTAACTGCATAAAGCACTAAACTTTTAAATTTCTGTTGCATTTAATCTGACATGTACTTTTACCTCCAGTGTCATTAACAAAGAATTCTATTCAGACAAGAATTTAAAATTTATTAATCAATATTTAGTCATCAATTCCATAGTTTAATTTTTTTGTCTGATTCTTTATTTCTCATTTAGGTCATACAGTATTTATCACTTTTATTTAAGAAAAATTAATCAGAGTTTTTTATTTGTGAGTAGTTAGGTAATTTTTTATAATTACGTATAACTTTCATATACCAACTTAAGTATATTTAAAATGTTTATTACTGTATCATATTCTTATATATAATCTACTCACTTTCTCCCTATTTTCAGGCATTTGGGCTTTTTGTGATTAGGCTTTATTATAAATAACATGGCAAAAACTTATCATTGTTCTGGATTGCAAGAGACAGAGTCAGACTTTAGTTAGAAAAACAGAAAATGAATTCTTTGGGAGACTTGGGTCTCTCACAGACCCCATGGGAAGTTTGGACCACTAGGTTTGTAAACCAGGCAGATATCAGGTAGCCAGAAACATGACCATAGAAACAGAAACAGTCTGGTTAAGGGCTGCACCACAGTCACCAGACACCCCCACTAAATGACCACTGCTGCCACCCTCACTGCTACCAACACTGGATCTGAGTGCTACTGCTGTCACTATCAGTCACTTCCCTACTTTCTCTGCATCTTTGCGTCTCTCTCTCTCCCTCAAGGGTCAAAGACTAGGGTGTTCACTTCTGATTGGCTGAATCTAGGTCATTTGCTTGTCTTCTTGATGCCAGTAGGTAGGGAGAAGGAGTGTCTGGTGGGGACTTGTCCCTACAGAGACTTGTGCATTATTTGGTTTCACTGAAGCAGGAAGAGAGATTGGATGCTGGGGCCAGGGAGAGACAAATATAATCTTTCTGCGTAAGTTTTTGCATGTACTTCTTCTGGTGACCACCTATGGATTGATCCCTGGTATTAGAGGCATGAAACCCAAGTGTATGAAATTCTTGGGCTTCCTTGCCCTCCACCTGGCCCTTTATTCTTAGTATTATTCATGATGCTTCTGTCCTTGTACTCCATGCTTCCCTTTGTGACCTCACCCATTATGATCTAAGGATTTGAACCACTATAGATATATGGGTGAGTCCAAAATACTCATTGCCAATTCAGGTCTCTATCTTGAACTTTAGACAAACACATTTAATTACCTAACAATCTGTGGCTATCCTAGGGACATCTGTGAATACCAAAAGGCCCCAGACAGAATTCATCCTCATTTTTCTCCTCAGACCTGCCACGTCTCTGGTATTCCCTAGTTTGGTCAATGTGACCACCATCCCCCTAGTTGATAAGGTCAGGAATTTGGTTTTTATCCTTGGTCCTTACTCCTCCCTCTGCTCTTCCATCAAATTATCTCCAGATTCTGTAAATTCTACTTCCTACGTTATCTCTGGAATCTGTCCTGTGTTCTGCATTCCCAGGAAGCATTCCAAGTTCAGGCGCTTATCATTTTTCTTTTTGATTATGACTTTTGCTTCTTAACTGGGTTTTCTACCTCCAGTCTTGTCCTCACCAGATCCAGTTTTAAAGTGCATGGCCAATCATGTTATTTCTTTAAGATGTTATTCAGATTATTTCCTCTAGGAAGCCTTCTCCTTGTCCCTCCTTGTTCACAGAGGTTGGGTTATCCTCACTGGTCGCCGTGGAGCCCTGGGTTTACCAGCACTTTTCACACCTTGTTAAAATCTTTGCTGTCAAGAGACCAAGAACTCCTGAGGGCAGAAATTCATGAGATTCATATTGAATCACCAGTGTTACGTGAAATGCCTCCAAACTAAGCACTCAGAATGAGATTTTTGAATGAAGTTATGAATGGGTTTTGACCCATTGTGAAACGTAGTTGAATAAACTGTTAGATGACCAGTTACGCTCGTGAAACCCAAACAACTGAGTTTATATACCCTATGTTAGTTTTCAGTAACAGATTTTGAAAATATCATGTCCGTTATAGGGTAAACATGATTTCTTCCTATTCAACATATCACAAACCACTTTGCAGAGTGGACAGATGAGAATGTTATGAGACCCAGACTGTGAGACTGAGAGATTTATTCCACAGGGGAAAACCCCCACAAAATGTAAGAAGATACTTTACACAGAGTTGGCAGATAACAAAACCATAAACTATTTTATTTGTTTTCTTTTACTATCCCAAATTAATTCTGGTTTTTGTTTTAGTTTTATTTGTTTTTGTGATGAGCATTGATGTAGCAATCTGAAAGGTATATTTTGGAAAAACTGTAGCATGGGAATGACCTGGTGACCCTTGTTTCCCCTTAGGGAGATCAGTCTGGCTGGCTGGTCCCAGGAGAAGGATACACACTTGCAGTCACCCAGCATCAGCAGCTTGCTGAAATTGATATGAAACTCCAAGAACTCTCTGCAGCCTCCCCGGCAATTTCCAGCTCTTCTTCAAGACTTGAACATCAGAATGATGAGGTATATTTAACTCAAGAATCCATACATGATTCTGGTTTATATGTGCTAAAGCCAGTTCACATAATTTGACAATCTGTTAACTGAAAAGGTTTCTTCCCAACTGCTTTTCCCGTGAGTACAACCGCAGTGATAGTGATTTCCTAAATGTATATTGTCCTTGAGTGACTTCCACTGCTATTCATTTTTCTTTCAGTTGGTGGTTTGCTGGGATGGAGTCACTGAGGAAATATTTATTTTAATATCATTATATCTTTGTGATCTAAGCTAATTCTTGTCATGATCAGGAGAGAGGCAAGGGAAGAGCTATAGATACCACACCACTTAGTCGTTTGAGAGCTTTATTTCTCTTTATTTCTCTGGTTCTAAGTATGAGCAATGGCAGCCACTTGTCCACTTGTCTCTGCCACATTCTTCTGGCTCCTTTAATTTAACAACAGGCAGTGAGGCTCCCTCTGTTGCTGACTTCTTCCCTGTTAGGGTTTTGAAAGGAGTGTTTCTTCTCTTGAAAGTTCTCTCAAATATTCTTTTACAAGGCTAGGAGAAGGTAAAGAAAAACCGAAAAGTTATAGCAGCTTTGGAAAAGTAAAATGATTTTCCCTCCCCTATACTTCAGTACTTCACGGGATTTAGTTTGGGATTGGGTGGTACTTTTTGTCTGAAGAGAAAATGGCTGGTCTTTTGTTATTCTACTAACCCTCTACCAGTTTTGTAAACATATCACCAAATCATTTTCTGTACAATTGTATTTATTTTATTTTTTGGTATTTTAAATTGAAGTATAGTTGATTTATAATACTGTGTTAGTTTCAGGTGTATAGCAGAGTGATTCAGTTATATATATATATATATATATATATATATATATATATATATATATATAAATATTTTCAGATTATTTTCCATTATAGTTTATTACAAGAAGTTGAATATTGTACCCTGTGTTACCCAGTAAATCCTTGTTGCTTATCTATTTTATGTATAGTAGTTTGTATCTGTTAATACCTACTCCTAATTTATCCCTTCCCCCCACCTTTCTCCTTTGGTAACCGTAAGTTTATTTTCTATGTCTGTCTGTTTCTGTTTTGTATATAGATTCATTTGTATTATTTTTTAGATTCTAAATATAAGTGAGATCAGAGTATATATGTCTTTGTCTGTCTGACCCACTTCACTTAGTATGATACTCTCTAGATCCAGCCATGTTCCTGCAAATGGCAATATTTCATTTTTTTGGTGGCTGAGTGGTTTTATATATATGTGTATATATATATATATATATATATATATATATATATATATATATATATATATATACATACACACACACACACACACACACACCGACCCGTACCTTACCTTACTTA